TGGCTGGGAATATTCTATCAATCTGGCCATGCCTGCTGGATATCAGTTTGTTGATTTTGTTAGGCAGCATGATCCAGGTCACGGTGGTTTGATAGTCTACTTTCGTAAAGAATTCAAGTACCAAAAAATAATTCTTCCACAACTTACTACACTTGAAGCTGTTGCTATCCAATTTTGGGTCAACGGAAGTACATTCATTCTGATTGCTATATATCGACCTGGCTCAGCACAACTGTCTGTTTTTTTTTCAAGAACTGGTTTCAGTTTTATAGCAGATTACAGTCTTGGGTTCTAACGTTTTGCTCATGGGAGATTTTAATGTACATCTCGAAAGAACTGATGATCCATATTCCATCCGATTGGGTGAGGTATTTGAAACCTTCCAGTTAGTCAACCACATTAACGAACCAACACATGTGTTGGGTGGTACTTTGGATTTGGTAATCAGTTCTTGTGACTTTCCTGTTACCAACATAAAAATATTTCCAAGCGGTGTGATGTCTGACCATAGTTTAATAACAGTTGAAACATTGATTCAGACATTTCGTAAAATAACTGCGAGACATGTCAGGTCATGGAAAAGTCTGGACGGAAATCAACTGGCTAGGGCTGTTTTGGATTTTCCAGTCTCTGGGCCTTGTCAGAGTAACGATGTCGAGATTGAATTAAAAATGTTTAACGACGAGTTAAAAAAAATTGTCGACAGACTTGTGCCTTGGCGTTTGATTTATGACAGAGGAGAGAGTATGGCACCTTGGTTTGATGATGATTGTCGACGGGCTAAACTAACTTGCAGGCGGATGGAGAGGTCATATAGAAATCACTCGACGACTGATCATCGAAATGACTGGTTGGTTTCTTTGTCAGAAAGAAATAAACTTTATTCTAAAAAACTTTCAAGTTACTGGAAAAATTTGGTCAAAGCTAACAACAACTCCAAAAATCGTTGGCAGATTGTGAACAGGGTTTTGTGTAGAAATAAACAAAGTAAAAAATCCGATGATAATATCAACCTAAAAGCTTCTCAATTCATGCAGTTCTTCACAGACAAGATCAACAAAATTATAATGTCTACCAACGTTTTGGTTCCGTCAGCACATCACAGTCATGTTACAAATCTTGTTTCATTGACAGATTTTCCAGAAATAACAGAAACCGAACTTAAAGACATCATAATGAATTCTCCTTCAAAAACAAGTTCACAAGATATTTTTCCGACGCATATTTTTAAGAAATATATACACTTGTTTATCTACTTTCTTACAAGTTTTTTCAATCTCTGCCTGAGGTTGGGTAAATTTCCTGCTGGGTTCAAACATGCTACGGTTGTCCCGATTTTAAAAAAAGCCAATGGTGATGTCAACGATGTTGCAAGTTACAGGCCGATATCCAGCCTTCTGTTTATCTCAAAGATCATGGAGCGCGTTGTTCTCAAGTTTTTGTTGAATCATCTAACAGAAAACAATTTAATGCCTCTCAATCAATCAGGATAAAGGAAGTTTCATTCAACCGAAACTGCATTATTGAATGTCCTATCAAGTTTATTCGCCGCTGCAGATGCTCAGAGAATATCATTACTATCGTTTTTGGATATGTCGGCAGCGTTTGACTGCGTCAACCATGATGTTCTTCTGGCAAAACTGCGTCAAAATTACGGGGTAACGAATAATGTATATAGATGGTTTGAATCATATTTATCA